GGACAGCAAGTCCCATTAGTCCTCTAATTCCTGAGGATGACAACGCAGAGGTGAGGAAGCACAGCCCTTGCTGGGAAGCTCCAACTTGCACGTCCCTCCAAGTCCCTCCTTGATGGTGTCCATAGAGGGAGAAGCCCTTGCCAGGATGGCACTGGCACAGCTGTGTGTTCCTTACAGTTCTAGCATTGCACATACTCCAAGTCCTATTTGCCTGGTGCCAATAGAGCAGCAAACTGGAATTCTTTGCTCCAAATTCCTGCTGTTCTTTGTGTTCTTTAGAAGCTGCTCGTCCCACATGAAGTGTTTAGACAGATCCTTGGGCCTTTTTGGGGAGAAAGAGGGAAAGGAAAGACTCCAGGCCAAATCCATTTAAGGAGCTGATACACAAGAGCAGGCTGTTCAGGAATTGTCAGGCGCCTCCTAATCTCTGTCCATTTTTACCCCATTGCTGGAGCAGAGCCAGGCATACCCACTCGGTTCCAGACCAGCCGAGGATGCAGCTGAAGTCCTGGCAAATGAGAATGAAGAGGAGCCACAAGATATTGAAACGTATGTGACAGATAAAGAGACTCTCCAAAGTCTAATCTCTGCTAGATGGTAGAAAGAGGCTTCTGCCAAGCTTTATGACAGTTCTACTCTGTAGATGAAATCTTAATTGAAGGTATCTTTCAGTAACACTTGAGGGACACTGAAGAGTCGGAAGTACGTAAAAGTAATTGAAATGATTGTGCTGTTGGGCTGGAATGTTGCTAAATCAGAATAAGGGATGTTTTATTTTCTGGCACTTCTGTAGCAGTGACCACTCATGCACGGTGAAATTAATTGGCTGCATGTTTTTCTGCATCTGTTTTCTGTAGAACAAGGCCCTCTGGTAGTCTCCTCTGTGTTATTTGCAGGGGTTGCTACTCACAGGTAAGAATCCACAAGTTGTTTTTTCTGCTTTGTGGAGGGGGAGGGGAAAAAAGGGGAGCTGCACAACTCAGTTGTCTTAGGTGGGTGCTACAGGCAGCTGGATGGCAGCACAGCTCTTGCTAGGAAGCACCAAGCTGCGCATTCCTGCAAGTCCCTCCTTGCTGGTGTCCATAGAGGGAGAAGCCCTTGCCAGGATGGCACTGGCAGATCCATGTGTTCCTTGGAATTCTAGCATTGACTGATAGAGTTCTTTATTGCCAGTGCCTGTTGTGGTTTCCTTTCTTCAGCAGCTCTTTCATCTAACATGAAGTGTTTTGAGTTCAAATAGCAGAATTTTCCAGTTTTGGGGGAGAACAAGGGAAAGGAACAGCTCCAGGCCAAATTGAATTAGGGCACAGGAAGAGGGGAGGAGGGAGGAGGGTTTTCAGGTGCTTCCTAAGCTGCCTCTCTTTGTACCCTGTTGCATCAATGCGAGCAGAATCAGCAGCAGCCACTTGGTTGTTTTCAGGGCAGCAGCTGTTTGTGCTCCTGCTTTGAATGTTCTGAAGCCAACTTGGAGGCTGATAGCCTAGCCTTCCTCACTCCTCTGCTAGAACTGCTCTCTGAGCTGAGGTTTGCATGCAGCACAGGGGGCTCACCCAATCTAATTGTATCTTCTTTTCTTTCCCTTCTCATGTTATGCATCAATGGAAGCTTCTTCAAGGTGAGTTGATGTTTGACACTTGGTAATGGACTTTGATCTAGAATGTAATCATGACTTTTGTTCTTTTCCAAGAACCTGGAGCAGCAGGGCTTGAAAGTGCTTTTAGTAAAAGGCAGAGGACAGGCTCAAGCTGCTAGCCAGTGTCTTAGGGAATGGATCCAATGTGTGTGTTGTGGCCTCTATCAGTCACAGTGGAAAATCCCTGCCATAAGTGTTGAGGCTGAATTCTCAGGCAGAAGGAACTGGAATTTGGTGACACTTCCTACACTTTGAATTGATCAGTGATTGATTAGTATCACATGGAGAATGCAATTGCAGAAGTCATGGGTGCCTGCATTTTCTGAGAGTTCAAAAGTAAGCAGCACTTCTTGACCCTCTGGCTGTGACAGACCAGACCATTTAAAATTAATCTCTCTTGAATCTGGTCAAGATGTTGCCCACAAAACCTGGATTGGTTACTGGGTTTGGTGCAACAGGTCAATAGTTGTACACTTGGGAGAGACGCTGATTGTTTCTTTCAGTGCTGCACTTTCAGTCTGGCTGCTCAGTGCTATTTCACCTATCAGACAAGCTCACTCCAAACTTCTATTATTTACAAAATTGAACAAACAAAGAAATTAGCATTGATTGGTTACAAGTCGCACGGTCATCTTCTTAATTTGTGTTCCATCTTCTTTTGGTTCCCAATTGTCTCACTCCTCCCTAGAATTAGTCCAATCAGTCCATTGCTAAGTCTCTCTCTTCTTTTGGGCTGGGCAGTTTCTGGAGTTGCTGCTCCTTGAGTCGGTGCTCGCAATCTCCCCCTACAGGAATTTCTTTTTACCAGTCAAAGGTGCTTTCAGGAGAGTTGAGTATCTTAGTGGCTTCCTAATCTTGGGAGGTATCTTAGTGGCTTCCTAATCTTGGGAGTTGTGTTGGATGTCCTTTTGGCCCCTCAGTTCTGCATTCTTTGTGCCCACTCTCAGTGAGCATCCTTCTCCTGAAGCTTTGTGAACCTGTCCCTGGCTCTGAGCTCCTTGAAGCATGCCAAGGCCTGAAGCTTAACAAGGCAATTCTACCAACAAGGAATTTGTTTTTCTAACCCATGGGCATCACTGAGAGCTTGGTGGTTAGTTGCTGTCTATTTCATGGATTAAATCTCCCTTCCGCTTGATTGGGCTTGAAAATACACAAGGCTGAAATAGATCAATATAAAGAGCATCCTTCCTTAAGAGCTCTTTTATATGTTCTACAGTTTGCATCCCATATAACTCACAAAAATTAAATTTCAGTTTATGACCACCAAAGGAGTACTTCTGCCCTGAGCAGATTCCAAGAGGTGAATGGCTACAGTCATGGAACTGGAGCTAATGCTGCACCTGTGGCTAACACACGCCCTGCAGGACATGGAGCAGAGGAGGGAATTGCACGTTCAGAGTATGTATGGCTCATGCCCCACCAAAACCAGAATTTTTGCCTTTTTCCTTTTCAATCTAGGACTGATATGTTGCTGTGCTTGGTTTATGTTTGACGCCTTCTCTGCTCTACTTATTTCCCTCCTTCTCCCATGTTGCATGGTGATGAAATGATCCCATTTACATTTTGAGAGAAAAAAACTGCCCAAGGCAGATGTACAACTTTGCAAAGAGCCTTAGAGACAAGTGTGGGGGTATATCAGAGAATGGGGATTACTTGCTTCAAATCCCAGAGATGGGTGACTGGCTACACCTTTTTTCAACCAGGACCCTTCAGTGCAGGGAGACCCCAAATCCTCAATAAATGCAGAAAACAGAGAGCTAAAGACAGCAGGCTTCTTCAAAGGAAATGGGCCAGGGCTAGTCGGTGTAGTTGCCTGATTATTTGAGATTTTATGTATCAATAACCATTGAAGTGTAGTGATATTAACAGCTGCACATTCTTTCTGCTTCTGTTCTCTCTAGTGCAGAGCCAGGAGTTGTTATTAGTTGTCCAATATGCATGGATTATTACTCAGAGGTAAGGATGCACCTCTTGTCATGCTTTGTGCTTTGTAGGAGGAGGAAGAAGCCAAAAGGGGAGTTGCCCAAGTCAGGTGGCTGATGTGGGCAGCTGGCTGGAAGCACAGCCCTTGCTGGGAAACTCCACAAGTCCCTTCTTGCTGGTGAATGGAGAGGGAC